ATGCGAATCATACACAGTAGCTCTTAGAGCTTCATTCATTTATCACCCCTCCCTCGTAAGATGCGAATCATACACAGTAGCTCTTAGAGCTTCATTCATTCATCACTCCCTTCGTAAGATGCGAATCACAGACCTTAGCTCTTAGAGCTTCATTCATTTGTCACCCCTCCCTCATAAGATGCGAATCATACACAGTAGCTCTTAGAGCTTCATTCCTTAGTCACCCCTTCCTCACCCCTCCTTCGTAAGATGCGAATCACAGACCTTAGGTCTTGTAGTTGTAGTTTTATTCTTTCATCACCCCTTCCCAGTAATATGCGAATTGCACACGGTCCACGCACTTAATGCATTTAATGCAAACAATATTCCTAATAACTATATCACACACTGAATCTCTTACAAGTGCTCCAACAACTTATAGCAAGTAATACATACTAGTAGTACAATCTTTTTCTGAAATGCAACTAAACCTGAATTGCATTGGGACCACTATGAACAGAGACGTACAACTTTCCGATGCTCACGGACCTACGGAACGTATATAGAATCAAGCGCGTATTACGAAGGCTCTTATACCTCTTATACCCTCTTCTTTATACGCCTTCTTAATTAATTAATTAATTAATTATTAATTAATAAGAGGGCCTTCTTTATACGTTCTTGATAGAATGTATGCAGCAATGCTGATTAGTTATTACGCGAATAACTAACTACAGTCGATTACTAAAAAAAAACAGTTATACTCGTTCAGTTTTGGCGCCAGCAAAAAGAGTAAAAAACGGACGCATCAATTTATCGTAAAAATAAGACGGATGCAAACTGCGAAAATAAACGCGGGAGTTATTTCCTTGGTACTCACATGATAAATATAGGTACTCTGGCAACTTACGACCGTCGAACGGAGCAATCGCGCTTTCATCTCATTTTAACAGCAGGTGGCAGCAGCTGCCTAGTACCGATTTCGATTCTGCTATTTCTAGAATTTTGGTTTCATACGCGGAAGTATACGCGGAATCAATATCTATAACGAACACAAGGAATGAAGGGGGACAGGACTAGAAAACTATATATATTTAAATACAGCTAATGCTTAAGTTATATGAGGATGAGAATGTAGGTTAGTTGATAGGTTATAGAGGAGCTGAGAAAGAGAAGCACCTCCACCCCACACACACAGGGTTGGCTACATTGTGTGTATATATATACATTGTATATAATATACAATGTATATATATATATATGTGTTCATATTGCAGACTGAAAAAATGCGAATCATACACAATACTTAGCTCTTGGAGTTTCATTAATTCATTCATTCATCACCCCATCCGTAAGATGCGAATCACAGACCTTAGCTCGTAGAGCTTCATTCATTTGTCACCCCGCCCTCGTAAGATGCGAATCATACACGGTACTTAGCTCGTAGAGCTTCATTAATTTATTACCTCTCCTCCGTAATTAAGATGCAAATCATACACCGTAGTTCTTGCAGCTTTATTCCTTCATCACCCCTCCCTCGTAAAATTGCGAATCATACACAGTAGCTCTTAGAGCTTCATTCATTTATCACGTCTCCCTCGTAAGATGCGAATCATACACAATACTTAGCTCTTGGAGTTTCATTAATTTATTCATTCATCACCCCCTTCGTAAAATGCGAATCACAGACCTTAGCTCTTAGAGCTTCATTCATTTATTACCCCTCCCTCGTAAGATGCGAATCATACACGGTACTTAGCTTTTGGAACTTCATTAATTTATTACTTCTCCTCCGTAATTAAGATGCAAATCATACACTGTAGTTCTTGCAGCTTCATCCCTTTATCACCCCTCCCTCGTAAGATTGCGAATCATACACAGTAGCTCTTACAGCTTCATCCATTTATCACCCCTCCTTCGTAAGATGCAAATCATTCACAATACTTAGCTCTTGGAGTTTCATTAATTCATTAATTCATCACCCCCTTCGTAAAATGCGAATCACAGACCTTAGCTCTTAGAGCTTCATTCATTCATCACCCCTTCCTCGTAAGATGCGAATCATACACAATACTTGGCTCTTGGAGTTTCATTAATTTATTCATTCATCACCCCTTCCGTAAGATGCGAATCACATACCTTAGCTCTTAGAGCTTCAATCATTTGTCACCTTTCCCTCGTAAGATGCGAATCATACACAGTACTTATAGCTCTTGGAGCCCCACTAATTCATTCATTTATCACATCTCCTCCGTAAGATGCAAATTATACACTGTAGTTCTTAGAGCTTCATTCATTCATTACACCTCCCTCGTAAGATGCGAATCATACACAATACTTGGCTCTTGGAGTTTCATTAATTTATTCATTCATCACCCCTTCCGTAAGATGCAAATCACATACCTTAGCTCTTAGAGCTTCAATAATTTGTCACCTTTCCTTCGTAAGATGCGAATCATACACAGTACTTATAGCTCTTGGAGCTCCACTAATTCATTCATTTATCCCCTCTCCTCCGTAAGATGCAAATTATACACTGTAGTTCTTAGAGCTTCATTCATTCATCACACCTCCTCTATAAGATGTGAATCATACGCGGATTTCTCGTTTGCACCGCCACTCCCTTTTTCACCGCACGCGCGCCGTCGTCTGTACGTTGATCTTCGCGGTCCGCGTATATAAACCGTAACAGGTAATTAGTTACCGTAGAAAGACGGGATACGCGTGCTCCCAGTCGCAGTGTATAGCTCTTCTATAAGTGCAGGCTGTCGCTGCCGCCGCCAAAGCGCGCCTCACTGTCGCGTGCCGGTGTATGTATGTGTGTGTGTGTGCGTTTTCTAAAGTGTGGTGGCCGAGTATGCCTAGTTAGTATAGTATATAGCGTAGTATAGTTTAGTATAGCCGGTTAGGGTTCGGGTTAGTGTTAGTAAGAGCTTCATTCATTCATCGCCCCCTTCGTAAGATGCGAATCACAGACCTTAGCTCTTAGAGCTTCATTCATTTGTCACCCCTCCCTCGTAAGATTGCGAATCATACACAGTAGCTCTTACAGCTTCATCCATTTATCACCCCTCCTTCGTAAGATGCAAATCATACACAATACTTAGCTCTTGGAGTTTCATTAATTCATTAATTCATCACCCCCCTCGTAAAATGCGAATCACAGACCTTAACTCTTAGAGCTTCATTCATTCATCACCCCTCCCTCGTAAGATGCGAATCATACACAATACTTGGCTCTTGGAGTTTCATTAATTTATTCATTCATCACCCCTTCCGTAAAATGCGAATCACAGACCAAGTAGCTCTTAGAGCTTCAATCATTTATCACCCCTCCCTCGTAAGATGCGAATCATACACAGTACTTATAGCTCTTTGCGGTTCATTAATTAATTCATTCATCACCCCTTCGTAAAATGCGAATCACAGACCTTAGCTCTTAGAGCTTCATTCATTTGTCACCCCGCCCTCGTAAGATGCGAATCATACACAATACTTAGCTCTTGGAGTTTCATTAATTCATTAAAAGTAATTATAATCTCAACCGGCCTTGGCGAAATTTTTGCAATCGACGCAGTCCTTTTAGTTTGCAAAGTTCTCCTCTAAACACTTAATTTCCAAACTTTCTTTCTGCTTGAGTTAGATCAGAGAACATCATAGTCGGTTATTTTAGTGTTTCCAGACACAAAAAACTCCGTATGCATGATATTTGATCGAAGTTTCTGCACACAAATTGCGAAAACGTCTTCCCTATTTTGCCGCCGCAGGAAAAGAGGTCGTCTGCTTGGCACGGTACCCGGATGCTTGGCGATTTCGTCTGACTATCGACAGCGACAGCGACATCTGGCGAAAATTGCGGAACCGCCGTACAAGTGACGTCACTTTTCTACTGTTCATATCCTTGCGTACGGTATTTAGCCTATGCGCGATACCGCGCGCCTAATTTGGTAATTAATTAGACTAATCGTGCTTCAATAAACTCGAAATTCACAGGGATTATAGCTAAGACATATGTGTTTATTTATCATTGTTTGAGACGTTCCAATGCAAGTGCCTGTGCTGTCACGGTATATAACGTGAAAAGAAAAAAGCTGTATCGACAGGTTAAACAATTGAGCATTTGAAACGTTCGCGCGCTTTCAATAATAACAACATCAACATGGAAGCGGAGGAAATCGAGCAAGATATGTCTGTGGACGAAAGTGGAAAAAGTGAACGTGAATCAGGCGTGAAAATTCAAGAAAAACCGAAGGGTCACCACTATGAGTTACCTTGGTTAGTATGATGATTGTTGGTGGAAACGTTATACCCACAATATGGTCTTTCCACTTCTATACTGGACATAGCTCCAAGAAACGGTATTGCTAGGGTTAGAATACCAACGTTGACGTTATTGTTGACGGTGACGTTGACGGTGACGGTGTATTGACGTTAGTCACACAGCCTGGTCGGGTTATACTGGACAGTTCGTAAGAAATGACTGACTAGTCTATAGCTAACCCGACCAGGCTGTGTGACTAACGTCAATATATTCTAACCCTAGCAATACCGTTTCTTGGAGCTAGTCTATAGCTAGCCATGGGGTGTGACCTAGCTTGAGTACAACCAGGTACCTGGTAGTTAGCCTTGTTTAGCCGAATGGCACTGAGGGTGGTCACAGCCAGAGTATTTTTGCGCCCTCAGTGGTTCTTTGGTACAAGTAGCGTTTACACACCCATGTCGTGAGTTTGGTTAGGGTTAGGGTTAGGGTTGACAATGGGGTTGTCAAATAGGAATGGGCCGGTTCTTTTACGTCCCCATTGGTCTTAGTATTATCGATCGGTCGTCAAGACTCACAAAGTCAAAGATCAAAACGACATGAAATTCAATATAGACATATATTCTTGTATTAGTATTAGTATTAGTATTACTAATAGTAATAGAGTAATACTAATACTATTACTTAGTATTTCATAGGCTTGCTACAATGGTTTATGGTTTATGGTTTATGGTTTGCTACAATTATTAGCATTACTAGTTGTATCACTTATATATATATATATATAGTATATAGCGAATGAACGTAATTTTTCGCAGGGTTGAGAAATATCGTCCATCAAAACTGACTGACATTGTTGGCAATGAAGTAACGATTAGTCGACTGGAGGTCTTTTCAAAGGATGGAAATGTCCCAAACATCATAATCGCGGTATTTGTACTAGTATTACTGCTTGTAATAAGTTCAAGTTTATTATTATCACAGTTTCGACCATTTAGTTTTACATCGAGTTGCCACAACAACACCAGCGTCTAAACGTGCAAACGTACGGTGCTTCAACCAACGTCAACATGAATATTTATATAATATATATCGCAGGGGTAGAAATAAATTTTTGAGCAAGGGAGTCCAACGGACTCCCTGCCGTCAAAAAGAGGGAGTCTGCAGCAAAATGAAGGAGTCCGCAGTCTGAAGTTCAAAACTAAAGATATTAACTATGTGTGCCTATTTTGAAGATTGAAGTCAGTTGACTGAAATAATCGGTCGAGCGAACGCTGCCAGTTAGCAATATAATCATTAATCATACACACTTTAAGCGCATCTCCGTTGATTACATATTTCGCCGGGATGCCAATTCACTTCACTCGATATTATACGAAAAGACCATATATGCTGTTAGATTGAAAGAACCACACTAAGTGCACAGGCTGATACTCGTATACAGCCACTCTCCACGTCCTGCCACTTAAATGCACCCATGCATGCAGTCATGGGTTAATTACACATACACACGCATAGACGTGCAAACATACGCACAAGCGTATATACAAGCACAGAAACACAAAATACACAATCCTTCATTCACCACCCCTCTCATGTAAGATGGGAATAAGTAGCTCTTAGAGCTTCACTTATTCATCTCCCCTCCTCCGTAGCATGCAAATCATAGACAGTAGCTCTTGGAGCTTAATTCATTCATCACCCTTCTCTCGTAAGATGCAAATCACAACCCATAGCCCTTAGAGCTTCATTCAGTCATCACCCTATCCAGTAAAATGATTTATTTATTCATTTATCACCCCTCCTCTGTAAGATGCGAATCACAGACCTTAGCTCTTGGAGCCTGATTTATTTATGACCTCTCCTCCGTAAAATGGAATCATACACAGTAGCTCTTAGAGCTTCATTTATTTATCCCCCCTCCCTCGTAAGATGCAAATCATACACAATACTTAGCTCTTGGAGTTTTATTAATTCATTCATTCATCACCCTTCCTTCGTAAGATTGCGAATCATACACAGTAGCTCTTAGAGCTTCATTCATTTATCATCCCTCCCTCGTAAGATGCGAATCATACACAATACTTAGCTCTTGGAGTTTCATTCATTCATCACTCCCTTCGTAAGATGCGAATCACAGACCTTAGCTCTTAGAGCTTCATCCATTTGTCACCCCTCCCTCGTAAGATGCGAATCATACACAGTACTTAGCCCTTAGAGCTTCATTCCTTCATCACCCCTCCCTCGTAAGATGCGAATCATACACAGTAGCTCTTAGAGCTTCATTCATTCATCACTCCCTTCGTAAGATGCGAATCACAGACCTTAGCTCTTAGAGCTTCATTCATTTGTCACCCCTCCCTCGTAAGATGCGAATCATACACAGTACTTAGCCCTTAGAGCTTCATTCATTTGTCACCCCTCCCTCGTAAGATGCGAATCATACACAGTACTTAGCCCTTAGAGCTTCATTCATTTGTCACCCCTCCCTCGTAAGATGCGAATCATACACAGTACTTAGCCCTTAGAGCTTCATTCATTTGTCACCCCTCCCTCGTAAGATGCGAATCATACACAGTAATTAGCCCTTAGAGCTTCAT